CCCCATCTCTCCCTCAGTCTCCTTCCTCCCCCCATCTCTCCTTCAGTCTCCCACCAATCTCTCCCTCAGTCTCCTACCTTGTAGCATGGCCGAGCGCCGCGGAGCTCAGTTTCCTGTACCCGGTGGACAGGAAGTGCTCTCTCTGTGAGCACTTCATTTCCGTCCGCCCGGGTACAGGAAACATAAGTTCCTGTACCGCGGTGCGCTCGGCCACGCTACACAGAGCGCCTGGCAGGAGGGAGCGCTGTGCGCTCTGCGCTCACCTCCTGCCGGTCACTCCGGCTTTGCACCCGCCGGGCCGGTGCGCCCTAAGGCGGCCACTTGTGCCGCCTTAGGGATGCGCCGGCGGAGCGCACGGCGACCTATGGCCGCGTGCCCACAGAGGGGGCGCGGCGTGCCACCTGTGGCACGCGTGCCATAGGTTCGCCACCACTGGCCTAGGATATCCAGAAACCTGTCACAAGATTAAGTCAGATTTACGCAAGTTCTGTAGGATAACCAGGTCATTGTGAAAAACTAAGCAGAATACTAATAAGAGAATTAAATCTGCCAGTTAGGATATTAATATGCTGTTAGTGGGGATGTCACAAAACAGATAGACAGCGGAAAAGCAAGGCAGAAAAGTTGTAAAGAGATTGATTGCAAAAAAAAAAAGGTCAGCACTGTCTGAGATGAAGTGGAACATGAGTCAGAATGTGTGAAATCTTAAAAACAGAATTGAAGAGAAGAAACCGAATAATGATTTATGAGGCACAGAGTGGAGACATTAGGAAACAAGTAACCATTAGGGTAAAATTAAATCAGCAGTATTAAAAATTCTAAGTGAATTCAAGGGAAATTAAAAATTTAAGGAATGAGCAGTGGTGGAACTACTGCTGGTGCAGCCTGTGTGGCTGCACCAGGGCCTGAATGCTTAGGAGGCCCATTGGGTGGCCCATGCACTTAGGGCCGCCTGGTGGCAAAGTGTTGACATGGTCTCGGTCGTGCTCTAAGGCTCTTTAACAGAGTGCCTGGTTCCATGTTTTAATCTCAGACTAGATGGGCCGAATGGTTCTTATCTGCCGTCACATTCTATGTTTCTATAAGATAAGGCCAAGGACTAATGAGAGTATTTAGAGAATTGGGCAAACTAGATGGGCCGAATGGTTCTTATCTGCCGTCACATTCTATGTTTCTATATGTTTCTATAACAATTTCCAAGTCCTTCTCGTATGTTGTTATCCCTAATTTGCTTCGATTAAGGGTATACGTTGCTTGTGCATTCTTTACGCCAAAGTGCATAACTTTGCATTTTTCTACATTAAATTTCATCTGCCATTTGAGTGCCCAGTCCCTCAGTCTATCTAAATCCCTTTGCAGTAATATCCTGCTCACATTGTATTACTTTACAGAGTTTTGTGTCATCTGCAAACACTGAAACATGACTTTCAATGCTTTTTTTCTATAGCTCTTACGGATTGTTCCAAACCTGCCTGCTCATTAAGAGTTTTGTTGCCATTATGGAGAGCCCAGACTTGGTTCCCCACTCTTCTGGAACTATCTGCGGATTAGCCCATCCTGCTACCTTGATCCATCCATGTCTTCCCAGGGGGCGATTTCCATCCACTCGCCCTACAGGGCCATCTTCACATTGTAGCTTGGACAGTTTCAGAGGATCCTGGCATGTTGCAGGACTTTCATGCACAGCTCAAACACTTCTATGGGATTCATGATCCCCGGGAACCAGATGAACCTATCTTTCCGCATGGCAGATTTCGGTCAGTTGGTGTCTGAATAGGGATATTGATCCCATGTCAACACCTCTTCCATTCATTTTAAATTTTTTATCCTCTCTCTTTGATCAAGGCAAATCCTATCGATCAATTAATATTTTTCAATCTGCCATTTTGGCGGCCCATTATACTATTGATAATTCATTAGTAGGGAAGCATCCTTCAGTGTGCAGACTTGTACGGGGCATCGTTTGACAAGACCCCCTACTGCCAGATATTCTAATTCTTGGGATGTTTCTCAAGTTTTTACTCTGTTGGAATCCTGGCCTTCTAATGAGGCATTATCCCTACGCCAACTTTCCACTAAATTGGCCCTGCTTTTGTGTCTGGTGTCTTTCCGCAGAGTTTCTGATGTTCAGGCCTTCGACTTTCATGCTTTGGCCTTCGCACCAGACGTAGTCAGATTTACTATTACCAGACGTACTAAGACTAATTCCTCATCATTTTTTTACCCATACTTTCCGGACAGACCGTCCCTCTGTGTTGCCCTGTGTACCTGTTGTTACATTGAGAGCACAACCTCTCTACATTCCCCTCCAGGGCTTCTTTTTGCTTCCTATGTCAGACCTCACAAACCGGTCTCTTCTCCCACGATTTCACGCTGGATAAGATGGCTGCTCACTCAAGCGGGAATTGACTAATCATTTGGTGCTCATTCTGTCAGGGGTGCAGCCGCATCATCTGCTCTTCGTGCAGGCAGCTCACTGTCGGATATCCTATCCTCCGCAAACTGGTCAAGAGAATCCACCTTTCGAATATAGTGCCAACTATGGTGGTATGTTTATTTCTCATTGTCAGATCCTCTACCAGAGGCCTGGGAGTTTAAGAGTTCTGCACAGTATCTTAGCTGTTCCTAGAACTGTACTTTTATGGACAGCGATCTCAGATGTCCCACCTGGAATCTGTTGAAGCCACTCCCCCAACTTCGGAGTTACAGAACCGAGGGCTCCTATCACAATTGGGACTACTACTGCCTTCCTTTTTCACATCATTTCTAGTTCTTCTTTCAGTCCTTGATATTTCTCTACCTTCTCATGTTCCTTCTTCCTGATGTTATAGTCACTGGATATTGCCACATTCACCATGACTGCAGTCTTTCGTTCCTTGTCTACCACCACGATGTCGGGTTAGTTGGCCAGCACTTGCTTGTCTGTCTGGATCTTGAAGTCCCATAGGATCTTAGCTTTGTCATTCTCAACTACCCGTGTGGTATCTCCTATCTGGACTTGGGCAGGTCCAATCCATATTCTGTGCAGATGTTTCAGTAAACAAACCCAGCCACTTGGTTGTGTCTCTCCGTGTATGCTGTTGCCTTAGGTGTTCAAGCATCCTGTACGAGCTAATCTTGTGCCCCCTCCTCTTCCCCCCTCCCGTCACCTAAACATACACAAAGAGGAAAACAATCTTTGTAACAAACAGTTTTTTTAATTACAGATAATTTAAATGCAAGAGCAAACAAGTACAATAATAAATAACTGGATTGACTGGTAACAATAATGTATATTAAATACATTAAATGCAGAAAAAAACCAGCTAACTGCAATCTTTTTAACATTGGTTTTTAGAGATAATATAATGTGCAAATGCAATAATAACTGGGAACACTGGGAACCAAAATATACACCTCCTGACAAGTAATATTAATCTGAAGCTGAAAATACAACCTTACGTGCTTTTGTCTTTGCAAACTCATCAATCATGTTGTTCATGTCCAACGTCTTCAATACATCGCTTTCAATTGATAATACTGATAAAGAGGTTAGTCTCAGATATGTTTTAATGAGCTTTAACTTGGAAAAGCTGCGTTCTCCTGACGCCACAGAAACAGGAATTGTTAATAGAATCTGAAACGCTATCCAAATGTTTGGAAATGTGTCAGTCAGGCCATTTCTCACTATAAAATTGAGTATATGGCGGGGTGCTGTGGCATCTTGAGGTGGTAGGCTTTGAATATGCCAAAGCTCCTCTGAAAGATCTAGACCATTAATGGCCGATTGTCTGCTCTTCTCTAATGCCTTCTGTAACTGCAAGCAACAGTCCCTTAAGTTTTCTCTTGCTGGAAGATGTCTCATATTGTATAGAAATCTCCATACTTTGTTGTGTTGTTCCATTTGAGAAAAACGCTCCTCCAAAGATTTAGCAGCAGTATCAACCAAAACATAAAAAAAATCAATCTTAAATTTCTTCGTGGGATCGGTTAAAGGTTCATCTTGGCTTTCGTAATCAAACAAGGCTTTTTTTTTCTGTGGACATGAGAAGGCTTTTTAAAAACAGGCTCCACATTCACTTTTTCAGCTAGTTCCTTTGCAAGCTGGAAGGAGCTTTTTAAATCCAGACTCTCTGAAATTTATAAAAAAATTGTGACATTTGTGACAATAAATTTGAACTCCACAATCTGCTGAGATAGTGTGTTAGTCTTATGACAAATGTTCGGTTCAGTGTGGGTTTCATCAGACAAAACAATCAGTGCTTTTTGTATTTCACTGAGATTATGTCTTAGTGGTTTTAGACAATTTATACGGCATTCCCACCGCGAGGTGCACAAAGGTTTTAAAGTGAGGCCAGAAACCAGGGCCGGACTGGGGATACAGAGCAACCCTGGAAAAAAATTTGTGCCAGCCCCATAAGTCACTGCGCCATATATTGTCACGTGTAATATGTAAGGCTATGTCTTGCCATGACAGATGATTGAGTAATATATATATATATACATATATATATTGCATTTTCTAATATAAAATATTGGTCCTTTCAGAGTAAAACATTTAATTATACATTAAGCATACTCACATGCAGACACAGGCAATCTCACTGACATCTCAATGACACACACAAGCTCATTGATACACAGCCTCATAGACAAACAATCTCACTGATATATATCAGCTCATTGACATAAAAGCACAAGCTCACTCACTAGCAGGCACACACATGCAAGCAAGCTCACTCACTAGCAGACGCACATACACAGCTTAATGTAGTGGTACTGGTGTCTATAGCATGTCCCTACAGGCTTTTCAACATAAACACTGACTTTTCAGAGAAAAGGCAGTGTTTACATTGCTTCAAAGTGACACCGCTAGTGACAGTCACTCAGACGGTCACTAGAGGTGCTTCCTGTGTCAGTGCACCTACATTCAGGGCCTCCACACTCTGTAGGTGCTGGGGGACCTGTGCTTGTGGCCGCTGGGGGAGGTCTGCTGGCGGCCGCTGGGGGAGGTCTGCTGGCGGTCGCTGGGGGAGCTGCGCTGGCTCTGCTCTCCCGCCCTCACACGCTGCTGAATGAGACCGGGGCCGGAATATGATGTCATATTCCGGCCCCGGTCTCATTAAGCTGCGTGCTGGGGAGCAGAGACAGCACAGCTCCACCAGCGGCCGCTAGCAGACCCAGGTGTCTGCCCGACCCCAGGTGCCGACGGCCCACCGGGAAATTTCACGGTATCCCGGTGGGCCATTCTGGCCCTGCCAGAAACGTGGTCAGACAAACTTTTCCATCTCTTTACGGATCCTGAGAATAGAACATAAAGGCGCTGAGTGATACCAAATAGTTTCATTGATTCCTTGCAGGAGCGTACTGCATCTCCAATGACAAGATTAAGACAATGACAGCCACACGGTACAAATACTGTTCTTGGGTTTATGTTTAAAATTTTGGACTGAACTCCATTGTTTTTTCCTGCCATATTGGCTCCATTGTCATAACCTTGTCCATGACAATTATCAATGTCCAAATTTTTTCCTGAAAGAAATTCATGGAGGAAATCACTTAATCATTTTCTAGTTGTATCCTCTACTTTTTTGAAACCAAGGAAATATTCCTTTGATTGAAAATTTCCAGAAATGTCTTCCAAAAATCAAATTGTAAAATACATCAGCTCCTTACGGCTAATATCTGGAGTGCAATCAAGGATAATTGAGAAATATTTTGCATTTCTGCAGCGTTGTAAAATGTCCTCAATTACCTGTTTAGCCATAAGATTTATTATTTCATTTTGAATTATTTTTCCGCAGTAGTGGTCTGCAGTTTCTTTTGATACCACCCTGCGTAAGTGTTCTGCCATCACACTGTCATATTTTCCTAATAGTTCCACGAGACCTAAAAAATTTCCATTATTGGTTGTAAAAAGTCGCTCTGAAGAGCTTCTGAAGGCCAGATTACGCTCTGCTAAAAACTGGACAATATTTAACAGCCTCTCCATCACAGATCTCCAGTGTTGCCTTTCACGGCTCATGAGATTTTGATAGTTTTGATCAATCGCGTGTTTTGAGTTCCGTCTCAGTTGTGTTTCAGTCCACATCTGCTGGGCTGTAAAATGACCACTGGAGGCTTCATGTGATTTCAAAATATTTGACATATTTGTCGAGTCATCTGATCCTCCAAGGGTAAGCGATGTTTTGGGATTCTTATCAAATAATTTACAAGAGAAACAGAATACTTTATTGGCAGATGAGGAGTATACCAACCATCGCCGTGTTTGTTCTTCGCCACTGTCTAATTTTCTCTTGTAGAAAGCTGAAGAAACGTGTTGATTATAAGCATCTTTTTTAAAATCAATATCTTGTACCTGTACAGGACCAACATCTAAAATACTATCAAGATTCTTAGAAATCAAAGCGGGATCTGTGAAGCTTGAGTTTTCACATGTGCTTATTGTTTCATCAAAAGCCACTGGACCAGAAGGTGTAAAAGAATCCTCTTCTTCCAAAGATGTTTTAGATGTTGAAGGCTCACTGAGCTTAGGATGCACATCACTTTGGCTACTGCAACTTTCGTCATCTTTTTCTTCTCTGGTTTGTAAACCACTAGGTGTTGGTGTTCCAAAATATTTTTTTATTACTCCAGCACTCTTCTGGTCCTCCAAATCCGTAAGGGCCCTTCGTTTTCGATTCTGAGCACCTGACAGTTTTTTGGGACCCATAATGCTGCTACACGATACAATAAAAAATATATATATTTAAAAGAGAGGCCCTTTTAAGTATAGATACAAAAAAAAATGCAAGATTCGCAGCAGCAGTGTACAGATAATATGAATTTCCTAAATGTAGTACACCAACATTTGCACCAAATAAAGCATAGATAAACAAAATACCAAATAACATAGGGCTGCACTAGATACCACCTAGCGATCAACTGAATAATACATAAAACCCTGTACTGCAGGTATAGATCAAATGAATAACCAGTATACACAATCAGTATAGCAGGTGTAGATCAACTGCATTATCCATACAAATCCTTTAGTTCAGGTATAGATCAAATAGACAACCATGTAACAAAGCATTGCAGGTATTCATCAAATGAATAAGACATCCAAACCTTGTATTTCCAGATATAGATTAAATAACACATAGGAACATAACATTACATGTGTAGAACAACTGAACAACATTAAAAACACATGCTTACACATTAGTGATGGTATAGATTAACTATAGATCAGCTTCAATGTCACTGTCGGGGGTCTTTGCGAATTTGGCAAATTCCCAGACAGTGACAGTGCCATAGTATAATCCACAAAGTCAGTTTATGTATTGTAGAAACAAGAGCAATGTTCTCAGTACACTATATTTAACCATTTTACAACACTAAGCATGTATAGCCTCTCCCTCATTTCTTCAACCCACGTCTTTGTTTGGCCCCCTCTAGACAATTTCAGGCACACAATATGCCGCCTTCACCCCCTTCACCAAAACCCTTGGCCACCGCTTCAATAAAACCCCTGCCCCCTTCAGCAGATACAGCCTCTATTCATCAGATCCTGCCCCTTCATCAATCCCCAGGCTGCACCCCTTCATCAACCCTTTGCACCCCTTAATCATACTCAGTGTCACCCATAGCCAGTCCCCTGCCCCCCTTAATCATACCCTGTCACCTTTACCCAGTCCCCTGCCCCCCTTAATCATACCCGGTGTCACCCATAGCCAGTCCCTGCCCCACAATTAGACCCTGCTTGTAATCATACGGTGTAACCATAGCCAGTCCCCTGTCCCCATAACCCCAGTCTCACCCATAGTCAGTCCCTGCCCCTTAATTAGACCTACTTATAATTATACCTTGTGTCACCCACTGTAGTCCCTCACTTATAATCATACCCAGTGTCACCCATAGCCAGTCCTGCCCCCTTAACTAGACCCTGCCCCCCTTAATCATACCAAGTGTCACCCATAGCCAGTCCCCTGCCCCCTTAACCCCTTAAGGACACATGACATGTGTGACATGTCATGATTCCCTTTTATTCCAGAAGTTTGGTCCTTAAGGGGTTAATCATACCCTGTCACCTTTACCCAGCCCCTGCCCCCTTAATCAGACCCAGTGTCACCCATAGCCAGTCCCCTGCCCCATACCCAGTGTCACCCACAGCCAGTCCCTGCCCCTCAATTAGACCCTGCCCCCTAATCATACCCAATTGTCACCCATAGCCCAGTCCCTGCCCCCTTAATCATACCCAGTGTCTTAGCCAGTCCCTACCCCCTTAGTAATCATACCCTGTCACCTTTACAGTCCTCTACCCCCCTTAATCATACCCAGTGTCACCCATAGCCAGTCCCCTGCCCCCCTTAATTAGACCCAGTGTCACCCATAGCCAGTCCCCTGCCCCCCTTAATTAGACCCAGTGTCACCCATATCCAGTCCTACCCCTTAATCGCGCAAAGTATCACCACCAACCCTGCCCCCTTAATCATACCCATCACCTTTGCAGTCCCTACCCCCTTAATCATGATGTCACCCTGTAGTCCCCTGCCCCCCTTAATCATACTCAGTTTCACTCATAGCCAGTCCTGCCCCCCTTAATCGCGCAGTGTCACCCATAGCCAGTCCCCCTGCCCCTTAGCAATGCTGCCAGTGTCACCCACTTAGCCAGTCCCCTGCCCCTTAATCATACGCAGTGTCACCCATAATGATCCCTGCCCCTTAATCATACAGTGTCATAGCCAGTCCCTGCCCCACAATCGTGCAATTGTCACCCATAGCCAGTCCCCTGCCCCCACCAATCATACCCAGTGTCACCCACCCAGCCAGTCCCCTGCCCCATAATCATGCCCTGTCACCTTTACCCAGTCCCTACCCCTTGTACCCAGTGTCACCCATAGCCAGTCCCCTGCCCCCCTTAATCATACCTAGTGTCATCCATAGCCAGTCCCCTGCCCCCCTTAATTAGACCCTGCCCCCATGTAATGAAAGGAAAGATATTTGGTTTAAAAAAACAAACAAAAAAAACAAAAAAAAACCAATAAGAACAGATACTCACTTATTTCAAGGCTGCTGCTCCCTCCCTGTCTGTAGAGCACCAGCTGCCGCCCTCACACATTGAGTGGATCCCTCCGCGGCTCTCTGTGAAGGCACAGCACTTGGACGCTGCGCCCCTAAGCTCCTCCTGCACGCTCCAGATCTCATCTGGCAGCTGCTTACAGAATTGCTGCAGACTCAGCTCGCCTCACACCATCTCGGGTCGGCCTGCTGTGAGTGACCGACTGTGAGCTGTGTCGGCCGCCCGGCACCCCTGTTGCCATGGCGCCCTGTGCGGCCGCACAGCTCGCACACCCCAAAGGCCGGCCCTGCTCTTTGCACAGTCTGCACCTTGGGTCTTGCCTGGTGTGGTAGACTCCAGCTTCTATTTATCTGGTGCTGAGTGCCTGTTTCTGTGCTGCTAGGATTAGTGCCTCAGTGCTGTCCTTCAGTCCTGCTTTTTCCAACCACTAGTAGGATTTTGTCATGTGAGCCACATCCACTATCTGCCGGTGGTACACCCCATGGGGAGGTTTGTCTTGCGAAGGAACCTCCTTTCATTTAACATCAAATACTTAGGTATAAAACATAATTTAATATGAATAAAATGTAAAAAAATTGGAGAAAATAATTTAAAAAAAATGTTTAGTTCTACGTGACATTCTAACTGTGAATGTCATAATACTGTTTGATTTTACTGCAATAAAATACTCATATTTGTATTCAGCGTTGTCTCATGTGTAAAACAGTACACCCTATGTACAGGTTTTATGGTGTTTTGGGAAGTTACAGGGTCAAATATAGCACAGGAATGAGAATTACCCCCATGATGGCATACCATTTGCAAAAGTAGACAACCCAAGGTATGCCCAGTCTTTTTTAGTAGCCACTTGGTCAAAAACACTGGCCAAAATTAGTGTTAATATTTGAAAATGCAAAAAACTAATTTGAATGTCAATTCTGGCCAGTGTTTGTGACTAAGTGGCTACTAAAAAAGACTGGACATACCCCATTTGCAATACCTTGGGTTGTCTACTTTTGCAAATGGTATGCCATTTATCGGGGTAATTCTCATTCCAGGCCTACCGTACGGTCTCAAAGGCAACGTAACCAATCTGGCGCATTTCAATGTGAAAAAACTGAAACGCAAGCCTTATATTTGACTCTCGACCTTTTGAAAACACCATAAAACTTGTACATGAGGGGTACTGTTATACTTCGGAGACTTCGCTGAACACAAATATTAGTGTTTTTAAAATGGTAAAACGTAACAATTATATTGTCCGTGTAAGTGCCATTTGGGTGCGAAAAATGCAAAGAAATGTCACTTTCACTGACAAAATCGTCGTTGTAATACATGTTACTGTTTTGAAACACTAATATTTGTGTTCAGCGAAGTCTTCCGAGTAAAACAGTACCCCCCCATGTACAGGTTTTATGGTGTCTTGGAAAGTTACAGGGTTAAATTTAGTGCTAGCAAATTAAATTCCCTGGACTTTTGGCCTGGGTTGTCAGGCTGGACCTGCTAATTGTAATTAATAAAATTACCTACTTATGTAAAATTATTACATAAATATATACGTAGAATTATTATCTATATGTGTGTATATAAATATATGTATATATATATATATATATATATATATATACATATAATTTTTAAAAATTATTTTTATTTATATATAGGTATATATATATAGTGATATATACGTATATACTTATTTATATAGATATATATATTATTTCGTTCTACATGTATTTGATATCAATATATATATATTAGTTTTAAAATACAGTTAGAACGAATTTACACATATATATATATATATATATATATATTTATTTATTTTTTTAATTTAATTTTTTAACATATTTACAGATTTATTTTTTTATATTACATATAAATATATATAATGAAAATTATATATATATTTAATCAATATCATTGTACGTGTATTTTGATATTAATATATATTTATATATATATATATATATATTAATATGAAAATATGAAAATACACTTAGTGTATGTGTATGTGTGTATATGTGTATATATATATATATATATATGTATGTATATATATATATATATATATATATATATATACTTAGATCATATTTATAGTAAATATATATATGATCTATGTATATATTATTTATTTTTTCACTGATTTAACTTTTATTTTATTTATTTTCAGACAGCAGGGGGAGTACCTGTCATTACAGGCACTCCCCTTGCTGACATTGTTATGGACGGCTATGCTGTCCATGTGATCGCGAGGTCCTCGCAAGGACCTCGCGATCACATGGCCCAGGGGAGCCGTAGAGGACGGAGGGGGACTCCCTGGGTTCCCAGGTGAGTCCCCATACCGTGATCGCCGGCGATCTTTATATCATCAATATATATACTTAGATCATATTTATAGTAAATATATATATGATCTATGTATATATTATTTATTTTTTCACTGATTTAACTTTTATTTTATTTATTTTCAGACAGCAGGGGGAGTACCTGTCATTACAGGCACTCCCCTTGCTGACATTGTTATGGACGGCTATGCTGTCCATGTGATCGCGAGGTCCTCGCAAGGACCTCGCGATCACATGGCCCAGGGGAGCTGAAGAGGACGGAGGGGGACTCCCTGGGTTCCCAGGTGAGTCCCCATACCGTGATCGCCGGCGATCTTT